TTTTTTTTTTTTTTTTTTTTTTTTTTTTTGGTTTTTTTTTTTTTTTTTTTTTTTTTTTTTAGTTTATCTGACCTTTTCTGCATAAATCTGTCACTATTTGTAATAAAACTAGAAAATACTGAGGAACTACACACTCTAGACTGACTGTCGGCTACCAGACTTTGTCACATAGCTACTAATGAGGCTCAAACTGCAGCCTTCCTGAGCCACTCCCTCTCCTTCTTGGGTAATTACATGCCACCATAGATGCAGAGCAAAGCCATTATCACCTCCAAACTGGATCTGAATAATCCTAAATTTCAAATTTTATGTATTGGGAACTTCTGCAGGTACTCCATTCATACAGGTGCCGCTGAAGGACAGAAATGAACTTTCTAGTATTGGCTTGCATATTCTGTGGCAGTACAGGTAATGAGGCAGACATCAGGTCTCAAATCTGTCACCTACTACCTAATAAATATTAATTTCAGTGTGAAGGCTTATTGGGATTTCTCAGATTGGATTTCAGATATCCAGTGGGACGAGGCATTCTCCAAACTCTTCCTTATCAGCTTGAAATGATAGCTTTTGCTATCTTGCCAAGTGCTTTAGTTCAAACTCTGAAGCACAGGTTGCTTATTCTGAGTGCCTGTATATGTCTAATACCTTGAAAGATTAATAAACCATTGTACATCCAGTCTCAAGGCTTTTCCAAGTCACCAGAGTAGCCCAAAGAAGCGCTCACATATTGGCAATTGACGACGGCCACCAGCAGAATTTGTCAGTGGCCATTCTGTGTATCATCAGTCTGAGGTATTTTCACCCCAGTTCAAACTCCAGCTGTCATGGGAAAGCCCTGCTGCCTGATTTAAAGTAGCAGCTCAGCGCTGCCTTTTGGCTTCCCAGCTCACAGGGGCTCCTTTTGCTTTTCCTGTGTGTGTGTGCTGCATGTTGCACACCTCACTAGGAGCCAGCACAGAAATTCAGAGGATTTTTTTAATAGATTGTTTCTAGACCTATGAAACTCGTCACTAAACAGAAAACAAAATGTTGCTGTTTGCTTCTTTCAATTTTGGTATGAATGATAAGGCAATCTTAGGGGGCTGTGATGTGGACATAGCATTTGACATCAGATCTGATTGCAACATAACTCTAATTTTTCTACAGTGCTGAGAAGAAAGTCTCTCAACTGACAAAGAGCTACCACCATGGAAATTTTTTCAACTTGTTCTTCTTACCAAAGGTAAAGCTAGTAGGATTTAAGCTCAGCAAAAATATCAAATCTTAAAAATTTCATGCCACAAGAGGAGGAACATTCAAAACCACTCGAAGCAGAAGTTGCAGGAGGGTGATTGGAGAAGCTCAGGCAGCGGGGAGGGGTTTCCATCCCTGTGGCGGGGGGATGTGACACAGCTTTGAGCAGAGAAGGGGCTGGAGGGGCCTGGCAGGGACACCCCTGTGTCTGCAGTCGAGCCGTGCTCAGGAAATTGCGCTTTAAACCCTGCCCGGCTGGTTCAAGGCAAGGGCAGAAACTCCCTGTGTCACTGTGCTGTGCTGCTGTCCCTTGTCACCGTCACACCGAACAAACAGATCGCCTTAAGGCGGCTGCCACCTTGCTCCAACAATTCTTAACACCCGGAACGAGAGTAACCATCGCAATAAATCCGTTTTGATGGTCTCAGGTTTGATATTTATTGTTATTCCTGCTGTTGAAGCAATGGGCCACCATGCTGATGGCACTGGGTGCCTTGCAGCGCAGGAAAGTAACTGAAAAGGCCAAGAAACAGATTGACAAGTACTGTGGATTAAGGAATAATTTACCAAAATTTTTCAGGTTTGTTACTATAATAATACAAAACTGAGTGGGCGGGGAAGGTTGTGGGTTTTAGTTTGTTTTGGGGTTTTTTGTGGTTTTGTGTTACTTTTTTTTTTATGCGGAGGGGGTATTCTCAACAAGTTTTTAAAAAATCATGAATTTAAAATGCATGTGTTCTGGCCCTAATGAGAGTAAACGTATTTGTCTTTTACCTTGCATTTCTTCAGTGGTGATCACCATATATGATGAATGCTGAGCTGTCATTCCTGCAGCCTTCTTCGTCATTCCTTCAGCATTCTCAGTGAGTTCCTGGAAGGACAGATATTTACACCCGCAGTTTTCAGCCTTCTAAGGACCCACCTTTGTTCAAATTCTTACAATGAGGCAAGGTCAGTCTAACAAGGGTCTGAGGATCAAAAGGAGGAGTAAAAAAATAAACCTCAGATTCATTAGTGGCTGATGATTCTGCAGCTGGCTTGCCGCATCCCCGGAGAGCGTGCCTGAGTTCTGTGCCCCAGCCCTTCCCGGCCAGGCACCGAGGCCACCCACACAGACCCAAAGGCTCTTTAGGAGCCACTACAAGCACAATAAAAGAGCTCTTGCCCTGTTGCAACATGTGTATGGTTCACTGCACGGGGGCAGAAGAGATTGCAGAGGTGCAGTTATGTATATGGGTAACGCGCCTCAGCGAGGCCCATCTCTATCGACAGAGCTGCAATCTGGTCCCAGTGTCAGTGTTTTGGAGGCACTACATGCATCCTAATTTAAACTCTGGAGCTGCTTGGAAACGTATTTCCCTTATTTGATCAGAGGGAATACCAGGTTTATGTATTAGTATGAAATAGTGACATGCCTGTGACTGGTGTTTTAGGGGTTTGTCCCGGGGCCTCCCTCGAGTACCGCTGCAGTTCTGTTAAGTGATGACATACCTACAAAATGTTTCAGCAACTCCCACTGCTGATACAGCCCATGTCACTGGATCTCACTGTAGTTCATAACCCACTGAACAACAGTTTTTTCCCCGTGCCCCACACCCCATGAAACGATACTTAAACCAGTGCAACAGCTCTTTTTACTGCGCATGTAGTGGCTCTTAAAAGAGCCTTTGGGTCTGTGCGGGCTGGGGCAGGGGACTCAGGCGCGCTCCCCGCGGATGCGGCGGGCCAGCTGGATGTCCTTGGGCATGATGGTGACGCGCTTGGCGTGGATGGCGCACAGGTTGGTGTCCTCGAAGAGCCCCACCAGGTAGGCCTCGCTGGCCTCCTGCAGCGCCATGACGGCCGAGCTCTGGAAGCGCAGGTCGGTCTTGAAGTCCTGCGCGATCTCGCGCACCAGGCGCTGGAAGGGCAGCTTGCGGATCAGCAGCTCCGTGGACTTCTGGTAGCGCCGGATCTCGCGCAGCGCCACCGTGCCGGGCCGGTAGCGGTGCGGCTTCTTGACGCCGCCCGTGGCCGGCGCGCTCTTGCGGGCAGCCTTGGTGGCCAGCTGCTTGCGGGGCGCCTTGCCGCCCGTCGACTTCCGCGCCGTCTGCTTCGTGCGCGCCATGGCTCCCGCAGCACCCGCGCACGGCCGCTCGCGCTCACCACAACACACACTGCGCCACCGGCTCCGCCGCGCCGCTATTTATAGCCCGGCCCCCACGCCCGCGCCACAGCGGCCGGCTGCCATTGGACGCTTGCGGCGAGCCCGGGAAAAGGCCCCGCCTCCGGGGCGGGAATCGCGCCCCGGCCTCGCCCCGCCCCCGCCCCCTTCCCACCGCGGCTTGCGAGCCGCAGCGGCGGCGGCACCGCCGCAGAGCGGCTCGGTACGGTCTGGGGCTCGCCCTGCGTTTTCCAAGGCCGCTCCGCTCGCGTTCGTCCCCGGCCTCGGGACCGCTGGCTAAAGCTGCCGGCGGCAGCCGCCTCCTTCGCCGAGTGCTCGCGGTTTCTTGCCGCTCCGTAGCCGCGTTCGGTTGAGGGCCGCGGCAGAAAGGGCGAAGGCGCGGGCGGCAGCCGCCTTGCCTGGCCCCGCCGAGCTGTCGCGGCTGCTGCCCGGGCCGCTGGAAGCGCCGCGTCCCTTGCGGGGAGCGCGGCCCGGGGAAGCGCGCGCTCGGGCGGCGAGGCGCGAGCGGCACCAATCAGCGGCGGGTGGTGCTTCTCGCGGGAGGGGCGGGAGGCGGCCGGGCCCGCCCGCGGGGAGGCTGCGCGCAGTCCTCACTCAGGTCGGACGGAGCGCGGCAGCGGTGCGGCCCCGGCTCTGCCCGCCCGCGGGGAGGCTGCGCGCAGTCCTCACTCAGGTCGGACGGAGCGCGGCAGCGGCGCGGCCCCGGCTCTGCCCGCCCGCCCGCAGCCCCGCGCGCGGCTCGGCGGCGGAGTGCACGGGGAGCGGGAAACGGCGGTGGGGAGACAGGGGCGGACGAAAGCCGGGAAGGAGCCACACAGGGGAGCCTGTGTTTGGCGCTACCTGCGCCGGGACAGCGCACTTTGGGGGCGAGAAATCTTTCCACTTTGCTTCCCCTAGTCACCCTTGGCAATGGAGATTGCAGGGCAGCGGAGTGGGCATCCATCTTGAAGTAGGTTTTCTAAAAAAGAACAAAAAACAAGAGCACCGGGTAGTCTGCAGGAGCTTTCAATGCTGCCGCTTCACATCGTCTTCCATTAACGTAGGTCAGCAGAGAAATACCATGTACCAGCCAACAGGAACGTGCTTCCGCTGTTTTAATTGAGACCACAGGCAGCATTTTTTTGTCTAGCCCGCCTCCACTACAGTGTACATACATCAAAACGGACTCCTACGGCTTTTGAAGGGAATTATGAACGTTCTCAGATGCATTGGATCAGACGCAGGATATAGCCTAAGGTTACCGCAAGCACTGCCAATCCTGCTTTCCTTTTAATTTACGATACTTGTACACCGTAAATGCACATTCTCCCCTCAGCCCGACACCGAAAAAAAAAAAAAATGAACGGGACAGATGGGAATTCGCCAGAGGATCAGCTCTTTTACTGAGAAAGTGGGTGGCTCTTAAAAGAGCCTTTGGGTTAAAAAGATGGGAGAAAGAGCGCAGAAACCGTCTACTTGGAGCTGGTGTACTTGGTGACAGCCTTGGTGCCCTCGGACACGGCGTGCTTGGCCAGCTCGCCGGGCAGCAGCAGGCGCACGGCCGTCTGGATCTCCCGCGACGTGATGGTGGAGCGCTTGTTGTAGTGCGCCAGGCGCGACGCCTCGCCCGCGATGCGCTCGAAGATGTCGTTGACGAACGAGTTCATGATGCCCATGGCCTTGGACGAGATGCCCGTGTCGGGGTGCACCTGCTTCAGCACCTTGTACACGTAGATCGAGTAGCTCTCCTTGCGGCTCTTCTTGCGCTTCTTGTCGCCCTTCTTCTGCGTCTTGGTC